GGGGGGCTGGGAATCGAACCCGGGTCACAGCGGTGAGAGTCCTGCACCCTAACCACTAGACCACCAGGGGCCCCTGTATGTGGGTTTTAACCTATTTTAGGCATGTCAACAGAACACAGCTGCCCATGATCACTTCCAAGAAATGCTTTCTCTTTGCCTCCCTGACATTAAACATGCTCTGTTTTTTCTAAAAAGATAGCTAACAACGTATTCCAGGGGTCTACACTTTTTAGTATTTCATGGCATATCTGCATCACTGTTTTACTTTGCTGAACTAATGATGACTCTACTCCATAGAAGGCCATTACAAAAATACAAGCGTCTACATGAAAGAAAGCTTTTCAAAGCTGATTGAACCCACTACCATAAATAAATACAAGCAACAAGATAGTAGGAACAGACTCAATAATTAGGTCGCAACAGTAAGTAACCCATAAAATAGGACCTGATAGAACTCGTTAGTCCAAGACATTATTTAAAAATTAATTTATTACTTTCTTTATTTGAAACTAACTTTCCAAGCCAAGTTATGAGGAATCACCAACGGCTATGCACCCTGTTCTATGGTCCCCAGCTCCTTTCTGAACAGCTCTCTGCAAATATATGATCTTTCACACAGAAAACAGCCTACACTAGAAGAACCAAGTATAAGAGAGGAAGATACACAGGAGTCCCCACACTGCTCAGTTAGCACACCTGCCTTACCCTGCTGCTCTAATCTCAAGTCTGCCAATCAACAGCTAGTGTCCGTCTGCCCAAAATACAATGGGATAAGAAAAGCAAGCAAAAACTTCTAAGAGATATTTATGCTGCTAAACTGTATATTACCATCTGACTATGATAATTCTTTACCAGGCTAGAAAAATCTACCTTTCATAAGATTCACCAGAAGAGAAAGAAGAGCAGGGTCATCCTACCCAGCTGTAATTTCCATCAACAAACATGGCAAAATACACACGAGATTCCAAACAAATCTCAGAAGGAGCCTTGTTTATACAAAAAGTTGACTACCTCCTTAAATTTGGCCAGCTAAATATACCAACATAGTCCTGTGTTTCCAGACTAGACATTTAAAACAGATCCGTTTACAACTAAGTATATTAAGTGCAGGAAGTAGATTACTTATTAAGAGAGAACAGTTGTTGAAATTTCACTCCACAAAAACATGTATCTTTTTCTGTGTGTTACAGAATGCTGTCAGCTACTGCTGGCAGAAAGTCTCCTAGTTAATTCTGGATCATTACCACTCCTAATTTCAGTGGCATGCACAGTTCCCATTTGATATACATACACAAAATAATCACACCACCATCTTAATATCTATTTCCTAAAATACCTGAAAAATGCTTGAATGTAAAGATT